CTACAAAAACAACACAATTTTAAAAACAATATAAATTTTTATAAAAAACTAATTTCTGTCAAATTTTCGTCACTTGTCAGTTATAAATTTGACATGTGACGTTAATGTTGACAGATCCATTGATTCAATAGCAAAAGTCTGTTTTGATTAAAACTATTCTCTGTAAAACTGACTTTACTTACCCAAGGGCTCTGGGTAGGTGTTGCTTCACTTTTACGAATATTCAACAAGGAAATTTATAGTGTTTGCTAAAACTGCGTTGTGAATTTGTACATAAAAGCGTAAAAAATTAGAACTGAGAATGTTGTTTCGTTCCTGTTTTTTACAAAAATTCCATTATTGCACTTATGCAATCGATTAGAAACTTAAATAGTTTTTATTGTGTGTATATATATGTTAATAATAAAAAAAAAGTATGATATGGCTTATAATAAAAATGTGTGAGTGATATTTTAATTAAATATATTAAGAATAAATATAAAGATTATGTTAATAATTTCGTTTCGTTTTATTTCTACAAAAATATTATTAATATTCATTTAATTGTTAAACGGGTCATCAAAATAAACCCAGGAGCGGATGCAGAACATTTCCAAGAGGGGGCAGTTTGATGGGTTTGTAAATAATAAATAAATTTTAAAAAAATGTGAATTTTTCACTTGTTTCAATGTAAGAAAATCTTACTTAATACCTAATTAATTGGGTATCGTCCCGGTAAACTTCAAATACAATTATGACGAATTACACACACAAAAATGAAAATTATTAATGATATGTCACATTGTAATAAAAAGAATCCTGAAATAAATCGATAAAGGATGAAGTGGGAAATTTACTAACAGATCCAACCCAAATAACTCATTAATTTAATAAAATATTTGTAAAAATAGAAGAAACTCTAGCAAAATAAATTATACAATACCCTCAGTAATATTTCTCCAAATACATGTCTCCAAAATAGTTTTGTGTTGTACCCTACTGATGCAAAAGAAATAATAAATAATTTAAAAACAAAAAAGCACCAGGGATCCATGGAATTAAAAGTAATATTTTAAAAATCCTATCACCCTATATTGAAGAGCCTTTATCACATATTTTTAATGTTTGTATGGAGAATGGTAAATGGCCATCCTGTATAAAAGAAACTGTCTTAATACCTATTTTTAAAAAAGGTGATGCAAATAATGTAATAAATTATCGTTTTGGAAACTCGCCTAAACTCGTACTTAACTAAATATAATTTATTATCAAACAACCAATATGGTTTCAGGAAAAAGAAATCCACATAAGATGCGATTTCGGTGTTAACACAAAAAATATATGCATCATTAGACGTCAGTAAACCTTGCTTATGCGTATTTCTTGATTTAACAAAGGCATTTGACACGGTAAGCCATCACATTCTCCTGCAAACATTGGAAGCTATTGGGATTAGAAGCACTTCATTAAATTTATTTACTACCTATTTAAATGAAAGAATGCAAACCGTAAGAATAGCCAATAGCTACAGTAATTTTATGCCCATTAAATATGGTGTGCCCCAAGGCACTATGTTAGGTCCGCTCCTATTTAATGTGTATATAAATAATTTATTTTCGATTAGGTCGAAGGGTGAAATTTTGGGGTTCGCAGATGACACGGCGATTTCCTATACTTCTGACACATGGAAGCAACTGAAAAATAAGGTGGAAAACGATTTTCCTGCAATACAAAACTGGTTAAACTATAAACTCCTAACAATAAACGTTGAAAAAACCTTTTACATACCTTTTTTCTGTAATAAATCCACAGCGTCCTCCTTCAATCAACTAAATATAATTACCAGTAACAACCAACTTTGTTAACCAACTTAAAATTCTCTATAATGTACTGGTTGAGAGTCACCTCAGATATGGTCTTCTTATTTGGGGTAATGCACTGAAAACTCCCCAGACAGCACACCAATATCCTTTGGATATCTACTGAATATCCAGTCCATGGTGGCTATCTATTTTATATCCATGAGATGTAATTTATAGACATGCAAATGTCTATAAATAATAGTAATTATATAGCAAATTATTAAAAAATTACGCCATTGTGGCTAATAGTACCGTTCAGATATTTAAAATTAAATTTTTTAAGGTGTAATCAATATCCCATGGACATCCACTAAATAATCAAAGTCTAGGCGCGAACGCAATCCATCGTGAATATCCACTAGATGTAATTTTTAATTTTGCTTACTAAGTGTAGATGGCGATACCACTTTCGCATCTACTCATGCTTAACCCGCCGTAATTGAGTTCGATCGAAATTTGTTTTCCAATCAGACTCCATTAGAGACTGGAGTCGAGAATTTCCATTTATTGCTGAAGAGTCCTAATAAGGATGACTTTTTCCTTAGTGGGCAAAATCAAAAGCAGTGTTATATTTTTTCTCTGCTATTTTCTTTCGATGTTATTCAATAAACATTGGTTACTTTTATGAACGTCTACTAAAGGTGCCCATAAAATATTTTGCTGAATATCCGAATTCTTCTATATCCTGGGATATAGACGGACATTTGGTTGGATATCCATATTGGATATATTGAATATCCACAAAATATATTCTGTAGATATCTCTGGGATTTCTTGTATTGTCTGGAAGATACCCATTAGATATTTTGCTGGTTATCCATTAAGATATCTTCTATATTCTGGATATAGACGGACATTTGGATATCCATATTAGATCCACGGAATATTTCTGATATCCTGTGGATATATTGGATATCCACATAAGATATTCTGTGGATATCTCTGGGATTTGGTGTGTTGTCTGGGAAATAGGTACAAAAAAATAGAGATATTAAATTAATAAAGTGACAAAGTGACATCATAATATAGATCAATAAATTAAAATAAATACAACAAAAATAGTTGTTATAAATCTTATACATTTCAAGTATTTAAATACTCTTCCGATATTTAAATACCTTTCTACGTCAAAAATAAAAACATGTTTTAACACGTTTCAACCGAACGTGCGAAATAGTCTGGATGAAGTGCTGAAGTATCAGTTCGTATTTAAACATTAGATAAGATTCTTCAATGTGCTAGTTGTCAAGTTGTGACTGATAACAACAAGAAAAAAGAAATACACCAAGATAAGTATTTATTATTATGATTTGTGATTTTACACAGTATAATTAAAAAATATTAGAGGTACAGATGATGTTCAGTTAAAAGAAAGTATTTACAAGAAAGGATATTATAATTACAAATAAGTCGCGGTTTAAATCACTATACGGATGGCAAATACAAGAAAAAATATTAAAAGCAGTACTTTTATTCATTAGCAAACAATTTTCATGCACTGGCTGTTGCAATCTATATAAAAATATATCTAAATCCAAACGTCATTTTTCGAAAATTATAATACAATTTTGCCAGATGAAATACTTTAAGCTGATCAAATAAAATAGCGAAAGCCGTTATTACTGGTTTTGATTGGTCAGTTTTTGCTAGATTTGGTTGTTTTTAGTTAGTTTTTGGTTGGTTTACTCCAATATTTTCTCAAACATTTGGTAAAATCATAAGTTTGAGGTTTAAGACATTTAAGAAGCAAAATATTCACTATCTTTTACCATAAAAACTGCCGCGTAACATGCATTTTTTCTTGCAATGTACTTATAAGAATACGTTCTTCGGCACGTTTTTATTAACTTGCTTTCCTGTATATATGTGTGTCTGTATGTTCGGTATAAATTTTGCAATTAATTTTAAACAAACTTTCAATTAGCTAGACTTTATTTTATTTTAAAAAGAGCTCAGAACTGGATGGTAACTGATAATGCAGTTTTAAGGTATTGATAAAGTATTTTACCCAGAACTTTTCCTAAGAACTAAATTTGTCAAATGCTGAACCTGTTTCATGTTATTGGAATCAGCTGAAATTTGGTATACATATCTAAACTCATTCGCAATGAAAAATTATGGTGTGCAAAAGTTAAGACGTTTGTGACATATATTCATATATTTGTTTTAGTTTTTATTCGTGCAGAGTTTTTCTACACCCTGTATATATTTTTAACACACCAATTTTTTTAAACGTACTGAAAGGATAAAATACGATTTTTTCTGTTGGTGTTAGGCCTTTAAGAAAATATAATTGTTTTATTATTATGATAGTATTTAAATATTTTTTATGTATTTAAATACCTTTGTGTAAGTATTTATCCCAAACAAAAATTTAAATACTCTAGGTATTTGTTATTTAAATACCTTCTGTTTTAAAAAGTATTTAAGATGTAAATAAATCATATTTTATGAAGTAGTTATATGGTTTAATATGTTGCTTGCAATTAGAAATATTTTTATTAATAACATTGTGAATTGAGTTGATCATTATCAGAGTACCCAACTGCAAAATTTCACTATTTGTGGTACGCATTGTGTGTATATTTGCCTAAATTTTAAAATTAAGACTGGCCCAAGAGCTTTCTCAACTTTCTTAATAGATGGTGCAAGGAAACAGTTGAGCTACAGTAACTTTATAAATAGATATAGATAGAAATTTTAACTGAATTTAGCAGATAATCAGGTGCGTGCTATACCTCTTTTGTAATAGTAGCAAACAGTTAAAAAACCTAATCAATTTACCTAACCTGTGCGGTCTGGAGCCATGATGGGTTCATTTGCAAAAAATATACATAAAATAAGAATAAAAAAACTTAACTAATTTACCTAACCTAAGCCATTTTTTTGTTGGGTACATTTGATTGGTCTCATACCCCAGATATATCAGGAATTTTACAGTGGTTTGGACACCAACAATCTCATTACCCCCTTTGGATTCGTGGTGAGTAAACCAAGGAACTTTAATAATCTTTGAGGCATGTATTTATCAATGAAATTAACAAATATACTAAGTAACAAGTTTGGAAGGCCCAACTCTTCCTACTGGTTAGAGGCCTTTTTAAATTCATGGTATAATGCAGAATATTTAAAAAAAATATATAATAACAGAAAAACAAATAACATTCATATATTTTATTAAAACAGCTAATAATTTAAAAATATAACAAAAACCATTAAAAATATATAATGTAAAAAATAATTTATCTGTTTAGCACTCTGTTTATCATGTTCTCAGTTTCAATCCATAATTTTGTCGAAATATTGTCATAAAAAATCGCCTTACTATTGTAATGTTTACAATCCCTATACAACAAACCAGTCTCATTTTCAAGGTCAGGCTCCGTAGCACAGTAAATTGGAGTTTGGGCACCCTAAAATACATAATCAAATTTTAAAAAGTTATAACCATTATTTTTGATTCACATAAAAGGGCTATTTTACCTGTCTGGCACTTCTCATAAAAAAGAAGGCAACTGGAGTAATAACAAAGAAATGATACCACTTGATTGTATGCCTAAACAATCCTGTATAAACCCAACCTGGACAGCAAGCATACACATTTATATTCATATCCTTGGTTTTTTGAGCTAACTGTTGAGCAAAGTAAACATTGGCTAACTTAGAATTGGCATACAAATTAGCCCTATGAGACACTTGCAAGCTGTTTAAATCATCTAATCGAATCTCCCCTCTTTCATGTAATGATGAAGCAACGACCACCACCCTGCTTTTGCCAGAGGTATTAGAAAGAGGTTCTAAAAGCAGGTTAGTCAAGTGGAAATGTCCCAAATAGTTTACACCAAAATGTATCTCAAAGTTATCAATAGTTTCAATTCTACGTGAATTCGGATAGGACACTCCAGCATTGTTAATTAAAATGTGGATTTCTTTATGGTTCTTTTTTACATCTTCAGCAAATTGTTCTATTGATTTCAAGCAACTCAAGTCTAACTCCATGGGTATCTAAAAAAATGTGACATTAGTGATTTAAAAGGTGAAACATTTTAATTCATAACTCACAACACTGGCATTATTTTGATTTTGTTGAATAACGATGCACGTTTCCTTAGCTTTATCCAAAGTTCGGCAAGCTAGAATGACTTGTGCTTTTCTGGCAGCTAACTCTTTAGCAATTTCAAGACCTATTCCTGAGTTAGCACCGGTAACGATCGCTGTTTTTCCGTTTAGTTGGACTGCATTCGTACATTTACCCCATTTCGACTCACGGTACTTCCTAATTAAAGCTAAAAGTAATATAGTCGGCAAAAAATAATACGCGAGATGGCCCATTTCTTGACTAAACTGACAAAAGAAAAATAAACAAATCTAATGTCAATGTCACAATAAAATTATTAAATTTTTAGTGCATTTTTTTTTTATTATTTATGTTGGTATTAGAGTTATCGACCTGTAGGTCAAATACCTTGTGCCGTTTACGTTATAATTGTCAAATGTCATTAGGTAGTTGAAATGTACATGTACTTGTTAAAATGTTGACGTTGCGGTAAAATTGTCATAAAGAAATAATACAAAAATGAGACCTTCTCTTGGCTCTATTTTAATCGCATTATTTTTCATATTCATTTTGAAGTCTATGCACAGTCTTTATAGTATATATCAAATACCGGCGTGCGAAAAAGGAGAACCTTGCTATAAATCATTTTTGAACACACATCCAAAACTTGACCTCTTTATTTTTATATCAGATAGTTCAAAATCCGGTAATTTAGACCAAATTCTGTTTGAGAAAAACTTTAACTACACATCACAGTTTGAACGGTAATTATTTAATTGATTATTAGAAATATTTTCATTAATAATGAGGTTCTTTTTTAGAGTTGTTTCGATTGAGATATCTAAACCTGCTAGAAATAATGGATCTATCGTTATACATTCTGTTCTTGTACCTAGTAGAGCGAGTTACTTAGTAGAAAATGATATGCAAGATTTAATAAAATTGCCTGATTCTACTTATATAAAAAGTAGGCTTACAAAATATGCTGTGCCAGTGAGTTCGACTTTTAATTTATTGAATGAGAAAGGGAGGACAGCAAGTTCCAAACCTGTCACGCACTTGAGGTCCAAATATTCTGTGATAATGTGTACAGAGAACATAGACATTCCACATTCAGCGATACCATTTGAAATTATGGCAGATTTTAGAGTTAATAGAAAAAGAGAGTTTTTGCCTTTGTTTCAAACCAACGTGCTTAACATGAGAATTCGAGATTTAATTGAAATTACACCTGATACTAGATTATTGAATTTTACTTATGTGTATAATCCTAGCTCTGTTGGTAAATTGAGATTTTTGAAGCAAATAGAGATGACACTTCATCAATTTCTAAGTTTAGGTTTTACTGAAAAAGATTTGGATGAGGTTAAAGGAGTATTTGCCGATACTGGTTTGTATCTTTTGTGTGCTACACTCTTCATTGGCAGTGTTCATGTAAGTAACTGTGAATTCTTATTAGTAAAAATAATTATAATCTGTAAGGTTCTCTAATATTAAAATAATGGTTCTATAACAATTTTAGCTTCTTCTTGATTTCTTATCATTCAAACACGATATAAGTTTTTGGAAATCGCAAGTTTCTATGGCAGGTTTATCCTCAAGAACAGTATTATGGAGAGCATTTTCCCAGACAGTTGTATTTTTGTTTTTACTTGATGAAGGTACATCTTTGCTGGTACTCATACCTAGTGGAATTGGAACACTTATAGAGGTAGTTTATCTGCAAACTCACAAAGAATATTTAAAATTGTAAACATTTTATATGGTTTCTTCTAGTTTTGGAAAGTTAGTAAAGTATTCAAAGTGACAATATCTTTGAGAGGACTGAAATTCAATAAGAATATCAAAGAAACTGAAGCAGAAAAAATGACTAGACAGTATGATGAAGAATGCATGAAGTATTTGAGTTATCTATTGTACCCCTTGTGTATTGGAGCTGCAGTATATTCACTTTTGTATCAACCACACAAAAGGTAAAATATCAGATAATAAATTTAAATAGATAAACATTTCTTTGAATTTGTTTAATGAGCAGCAAAGGTCAGGACAAATATTGTATTATAACTTATAATAATTTTTCTTTTTGTATTAGTAGAAATACTTGGCGCCAAAATTTAAACAGCATCGATTCAAAAAATAAAATGGCGGCACCTCCACCAAATTTTGTCAGCGCGCTCACCAAAATTTAGAAATTTAATCGCGCATTCACCAAACTTTAGAAATTGAATCATGTATTCACCATTTTTTTACTTTATTTATCAATAGTAAAAACTGTAAAGATTTAGCTAGAATTTAAAATATTTTTTACATTTTTTTTTATTTATTTATTTATTTATTGTTTTTAATAATAATTGAAGAATAGGTATAATTTAAACTAATATTTTTTATTAAATGAGGGTTTATTTGAAATAACTATTTTATTTTCCAAGTGAACATTGTTATATTATTTAAAAACATTAATAACAATAATAGTCAGTACACAGTTTTTTTAATATATTTTTTTCAGTTGGTATTCTTGGACGATAAACAGCATGGTAAATGGAGTTTACGCCTTTGGATTCATCTTTATGTTGCCACAATTGTTCATAAACTATCGCTTAAAATCAGTGGCTGCATTACCTTGGAAAGCATTTACATACAGAGCTTTCAATACTTTCATTGATGACATTTTTGCATTTATTATAACCATGCCCATCGCACATCGTGTGGCTTGTTTCAGGGATGACGTCGTATTTTTAATTTACTTGTACCAAAGATGGTAAGTTGGAGTTCTTATAACATATACATAATGTTACTGAATTTAAAAAATAAATATAGACATTAAATGTGAAAATTCTATTAATTTTGGGAAAATATAAACTATCTAAGATGCTGATCAATCTAATCTACATTTTAATATCACTAATATTTAGATTGGTAATATGTCTAAAATGATAGTCTGAAGTCTGTAATATAGCACTATATTTTCTGTTATCCTTTTAAAACTGGCACAATATAAACAAAAATCTAAGATATTGATCAACTAAATTTATATTTTGATATCTCAAATATTTTTTTATTGTAATTGCGCTAAAAATTTAAGGTCTGATGACTTTTTGAAAACTTTCTACAAACTTTAATTATAGTACTTTAATATTTTAGCTTATCCTTTTTGAAACTTTTGCATAATATAAACAAAGGCATAAGATATTGATCAACCAAATTAAAATTTTTATATCTCAAATATTTTATGATTAACATTGTATCAAAGTTGAAAATCTTATGACTTTTTTAAACTGTCTACAAACTTATAGCACTTTAATATTTTCGGGTATCCTTTTGAAACTTTGGCACAATATAAACAAATATTTAAGATATAGATCAACCAAATTTAAATTTGATACCTATATCAAATATTTTTTAATTGTCATTGGGTCAAAGTTGAATATTGATAACTTTTTAAACTTTCTACGAACTTAATTATTACACTTCAATATCTCCAGTTATCCTTATAAAACTTTGGCACAATATAAATAAAAATCTAAGATATTGATCAATCAAATTAAAATTTTGATGTCTCAAATATTTTTTAATTGACATTGCATCAAAGTTGAAGATCTGATGACTTTTTTAAAGTGTCTACAAACTTATAGCACTTCAATATTTTCGTTTATGCTTTTGAAACTTTGGCACAATATAAATTAGAATCTAAGATATTGATCAACCAACTTAAAATTATGATATCTCAAATATTTTTGAATGACATTGCGTCAACGTTGAAGATTTGATGACTTCTATTAAACTTTCTACAAACCTAATTATAGCTCAACCAAATTTACAATTTGGTGTCTCAAATATTTTTTGATTAACTATGGCTCAAAGTTGAAGGCCTATGACTTTTTGAAAACTTTCTACAAACTTTAATATAGTACTTCAATATTTTCGCTTATCCTTTTGAAACTTAAGATATAAGATATTGATCAACCAATTTACATTTTTATGCTTCAAATATTTTTTGATTGACATTGCGTCAAAGTTGACATTCGATAACTTTTAAAACTTTTTACAAACTTAATTATTACACTTTGATATCTTCGATTATCCTTATAAAACTTTGGCACAATATAAATAAAAATCTAAAATATTGGTCAACCAAATTAAAATTTTGATATCTCAAATATTTTTTGATTGACATTGCATCAAAGTTGAAGATCTGATGACTTTTTTAAATCTTTCTACAAACTTTAATATAGTACTTTAATATTTTCGCTTATCCTTTTGAAACTTAAGATATAAGATATTGATCAACCAATTTACATTTTTATACCTCAAATATTTTTTGATTAACATTGCGTCAAAGTTGACATTGCGTCAAAGTTGACATTCTGATAACTTTTTAAACTTTTAACAAACTTAATTATTACACTTTAATATCTTCGATTATTCTTATAAAACTTTGGAACAATATAAATAAAAATCTAAGATATTGATGAACCAAATTAAAATTTTGATGTATCAAATATTTTTTGATTGACATTGCATCAAAGTTGAAGATCTGATGACTTTTTTAAACTGTCTACAAACTTAGTTATAGCACTTCAATATTTTCGGGTATCCTTTTGAAATTTTGGCACAATATAAACAAATATCTAAGATATGGATCAACCAAATTAATATTTGGATATATCAAATATTTTTTAATTGACATTGCGTCAAAGTTGAAAATTGATGAATTTTTAAACTTTCTACAGACTTATTACACTTCAATATTTTCGTTTATGCTTTTAAAACTTTGGCACAATATAAATTAGAATCTAAGATATTGATCAACCAACTTAAAATTATGATACCTCAAATATTTTTGAATGACATTGCATCAACGTTGAAGATTTGATGACTTTTATTAAACTTTCTACAAACTTAATTATAGCTCTTCTATATTTTTGGATATCCTTTTGAAATTTTGGCAATATATAAACAAAGATATAAGATATTGATCAACCAAATTTACATTTTGATGTCTCAAATATTTTTTGATTAACATTGGCTCAAAGTTGAAGGTCTATGACTTTTTGAAAACTTTATACAAACTTTAATATAGTACTTCAATATTTTCGCTTATCCTTTTGAAACTTAAGATATAAGATATTGATCAACCAATTTACATTTTTATATCTCAAATATTTGTTGATTGACATTGCGTCAAAGTTGACATTCTGATAACTTTTTAAACCTTTTAAGCACTTAATTGTTACACTTCAATATCTTCGATTATCCTTATAAAACTTTGGCACAATATAAATAAAAACGTAAGATATTGATGAACCAAATTAAAATTTTGATGTATCAAATATTTTTTGATTGGCATTGCATCAAAGTTGAAGATTTGATGACTTTTATTAAACTTTCTACAAACTTAGTTAAAGCACTTATCTCAAATATTTTTAATTGACATTGTGTCAAAATTGAAAGTCTGATGACTTTTTAAACTTTCTACAACTTTTATTATTGCCCTTCAATATTTTCGGTTATCCTTTTGAAACTTTGACATAATATAAATAAAAAACTACAATATTGTTAAAACAAAATAAAATTTTGCTATCTTAAATAATTTTTGATTGACATTGTGTCAAAGTTGAAGGTCTGGCGTCTTACAAACTTAATTATAACCTTTCAATATTTTCGGGTATCTATCCTTTTGAAACTTTGGCAAAATATAAACAAAGATCTAAGATATTTATCAACCAAATTAAAATTTTGATATCTCAAATATTTTTTGATTGACATTGCGTCAAAATTGAAGGTCTGACGACTTTTTTCAATATTTTCGCTTATTCTTTTGAAACTTTGGCGAAATTTAAAAAGATCTAATACATTAATCAACCAAATTTACATTTGATATCTCAAATATTTTTTATTGAAATTGCGTCAAAGTTGAAGGCTGGTGACTTTTGAACTTTTTACAAACTTAATTATAGGACTTCAATATTTTCGGTTATCCTTTCGAAACTTTGGCACAATATAAGCAAAGATTTAAAAATCGATCAAACAAATAAAAATTTGGATATATCAAATATTTTTTGATTGAAATGCATCAAAGTTGAAGATCTGATGACTTTTTAAACTTAATTATAACACTTCAATATTTTCGGTTATCCTTTTTGAAACTTTGGCACAATATAAAAAAAAATCTAAGTTATTGATATCTCAAAAATTTTTAAATTGGCATTGCGTTATATATAGTTAAAGTAGGTACTAATGACTCTAATTTTTTTACAAATTTTATTAAACCACTAGTTAAAAAAATATTTGGGGAAAATAGATATTAACAATATCTCGAGATATTGATCAACTAAATCAACATGTTTATTTCCAAATTATTTTTAAAATAAATCCTGTTAAAATTTTAATTTGTGTTTCAGGTTGTACCCAGTAGATAAAACTAGAACTGACGAATATGTTGGAGAACATATCAGTGACGCCGATAAAAAAAATAAAAAGAAAAAATAAAAAAAAATGTTATATTTTATTATTTTTGTTTAATTTATTTAATAAAACTAAAGTTGGTTGATTATTTTTTTATTTAGTGTGGTTTTTTATAATAAAAAGAAGGTAAGTTGCCGATTTAAAATTTTAAAATTAGAATTTTTTATTTTATTGTATTTTTATAAAAACTGATAAAATCGGACCCTGTAATTTTTCATTTAACTATTTATTAGTAAAAGAAATCGATCACTAAAGAAATTAAATTATGTTAAACTTAATATTTCTTACAAAAGTCTGAAGAGGTCTAAACCATATTGACGAAACTTTAATATTATGAAATTGTTTTCATTAATTTCTTACATTTAAAATAAATTTAAAACTTTCTTCAAGTAATTTGAACATTTTTAAATAATATCTATTATTACTTTTCATATAATTTTCTATAAAAAACTGTTTAGGTATGTCTGCTTTTAGAGTTTTAGTTAACTAGGTAGGTACCTACCTATCTAATTATTTTAATAAAGTGAAATTTAACATAATTTTATACTTTAATGAGGTGTAATCAGAAAATACCAATGATATAGGTACCTATAAGTAAAGCGTTTTAAATCAAATTCAGACTAAAATAATTTCGTAAAATTACTTCAAAATCGCCTAATATTTAAAAGTGAGTAGGTATGTACAGGAAAATAAAATATAAAAGTGTATAAAATGGCGTGTGCGCTAGATTATTCAAGGTCATTGTATTGGCGATCTATAATTAATTTTAACGAATGCTAAGCGTAAATAAAGCGAAATCAGCATTACTTTATGCAAATAAGTTTATAGTAATTATAAATGCTTGTATCATTCTATTTTATGCAAAAAATATAATTAATTTGCAATTTTTTGTTCGTAAACATATGTAGTTTTTAACGAGCAACACTTATGCAACCATTAATGACGTCATAACAACAAAATCGTATTACAAATTATGTTATATTTTTATTTTGTTTATACTAAAATGTTTACAAATTATTAAACTAGACAATAATTTAACTAAATAATTAAAGATTTTTCTAAAACTACTAAATTTATAACCTAAAAATTGATTATTATCAAAGATGAAACTTTTAATTTGTATTGCAATGAATTAAATACAAGATTTGTTGTGATTTACATTTTTAATTGATGTTTCGTTTTATATTTTTACCAATATGAAAATGGTAATTTGATGGTTGGTCGACTGGTTAGCATCGCGAAAAAATGGTTTGTTGCAAACCTTTTCTGTAAACGGGTGGCGCCCCCTGTCTCCTCCACCAAAGTTCTTATTTTCTTTTATGTCATCAGTTATGGTGGAAGCGCAACAAGTGTTTTGTATTTAACAGTTTAAAAGACACATGTGTGCTTGTTGAACATTACGAAATAGTTGTTTTTCGGTATTTAATTGATAAGTGATCTTGTGAACGCAGGATTAATGTTTCCCTCTTCCGAAATATTGATGAAAACCTTTGCGAAAGTTGATGTCTACGAGGGCTTGGTGCAACCCGTTGAAGCTTCTGCAATACTTCCGAAGGGAATAAAATGAAGAAAAAGCCAGAACAGTATACGAGACAAGGTAAAACTAACAATAATATTAAAAGTTTCTTAAGTAATCTTAAAGAAAATGATTTGCATTTTGAGGATAATCAAATAACTCAGTGTGTATTTTTGGGGGTTTTGAGGCTGAAACCAGTGCCTTCTGTATTTAATAGTAATAATTTGCCTTCCACAGCAGTAGAAAGTAAGAATAAAAAACATAAAAATAACAATAGTACAAAGGAAGTTAACAAAAACATATCAGCTAAAAGAGATATAAACAAAGTAATTAGTGGCAAGATCAGGAAGAAAAATCCTGATACTATTAAAGCTTCTGTTAAAAAACTTGCCACTAAAAAACCTGTAATTAAAATCAAATTTAACATGAATAAAAATAAAAAAGAATCTTCAAAAGATACTGTTACTATATTACAAGATTCTCTTACAAAAGTGACCCCTCAAACTATGTTACAAAATAAAACTATAACCTTAAATCCTATTCAGACAACACCGAGTTTTAATCCTGTTCAGAACCTTTTTGATAAGCTCAAACAGCAAATGGATGAAAAATACAACCGGCCTGGTACTTCAGATGTATCTAAAGAAACTTTATTTTCCTCCGAAATGAAAGGTTCTAAAAAATCTAAAAAACCCACAAAGAAAAAAGATATTTTTGAAAGACTGGTTATGCCTTTGTTGCCTTCTAATACTAGTTTTAATGATAATGGTTACTACTCATCTACAAGTACTGCAAGTAATAAAACAAGTGATGAGGTAATTGTTATTAATGAAGAAAACAGCGATAGTGATGATGACGATGATGAATATGAAGAAGTCCTGGTAAATACAGGACCTATGCCTAATTTTGTGCTACGTACTACTTCTACAGAAAAATTTGAGAACGATGATGTTATAGTTATAAATGATAGATCTTCACCAACTATAGATCATTTAACCATAGATGATACTAGGAGTACTAGAACTTCACCTAGACTCAACAAAAGTGATCCAAATTTGCAAAAAAATAATAATCAAGAGCGAACTTCTCATTCTAACACTATAACTATAAATGACAGTAACAACTCTGCAGAAACAGTGGTTTCTTCTTCTAAGCAATCCTCAGACAAGCCAAGAAAACGTCGAACTTTGTTGCCTACCATACCTTTAAATTTTTTCAATACTTCTATGTTGCTTAGATCAGAATTAGCTCAAAAGAAAGGCGGTGGGACTGCTGAAGGCAGGTCCGGCTCAAGAGCGTCAACTTCCAAAGTTCAAAAATCAGAAAGTAAACAAGAAAAATCTTTATTGAAGCATAAAAAAGACAAATCTGACTCCAAAGCGAGAAACAACACTGAAAATTTGATTTATGAAGTTGTTAAATCATCTACAGCTCTACCAGATCAGTCAATCATAGAAAAAAATGCTAGTGAACAAAAAAATGATGATGTTCTGATTGATAATTCACCTCCCAAAGTGGAGCCTTTGATAATTAAATTAAAAGTATCACAGAATAAAAATTCAAGCGAAAAATCTACTCAAGAAAATGGCCAACATGTAATAAAAAACATATCCCAAAAATCCGAAGTTGCCAAAATTACTAAAAACCTGTTCTTCCCGAGACTTTTAAGATCTGATATCACCCAACAAAAACCAAACAAGAAAAAAGAAGATATAACGGCAAAAAAAGCGATAAATTCCGCAGAAATAGTCCCACAACCTTCGGCGACAATTTCCTCAAGAAAATCACCGATAAAATTGAATATCTCGAAAGAGATAGTAGCGGTAGAACTGCCCAACAAAGTCGTGGAAAATGTAGTGGAGAAAAAAACAGTTGAGCTTAAATCTCCACTCAAAGAAAAATCACCAGAAAAATTGTCAAACAATAACAAAAAGACTGAAAAATCACCTGAATCACAACAAAGACAACTTAGGTCTGACGTTATTCAGGATAAAAATACCACTGAAGAAGGTCGAGGAAAGGACGAAACTATTCCGATTAGTAAAATAGAAGATACTTCCAAAGTTCCTATTGAAAAATCTGATGAAGAAAAACCCGTAATTCGAAAATCAAGGACTCCGAAAAAAACAGTTGATTCAGAAGTCATTCCTATCGAAAAACCAGTAGCAAATCAAGAAAAACCTCCAGATCAAGAAAAACCATCCCTTAATCAAGAAAAATCATCTTCTAATCAAGAAAAACCATCCCCAAATCAAGAAAAATTATCCCCTAATCAAGAAAAACCACCCCTTGATCAAGAAAAACCATCTCCAAATCAAGAAAAACCCGTTATTCGAAAATTAAGGACTCAGAAAATAGCAGCTGATTCAGAAGTCAATCTTATCGGAAAAACAGTACCAAATCAAGAAAAACCATCTTCAAATAAAGAAAAACCATCCCCTAATCAAGAAAAACCATCTCCAAATCAAGAAAAACCCGTTATTCGAAAATCAAGGACTCAGAAAATAGCAATTGATTCAGAAGTCATTCTTATCGAAAAAACAGTACCAAATCAAGAAAAACCTTCTTCAAATAAAGAAAAACCATCCCCTAATCAAGAAAAGTCCGTTATTCGAAATCCGAGGGCTCAGAAAAAAACAACCGATTCAGATGACATTCTTATCGAAAAACCAGTACCCAATCACGAAAAAACATCCCCTAATCTAGAAAAATCATCTCCAAATCAAGAAAAACTCGTTATTCGAAAACCAAGGACTCAGAAAAAAGCGGCTGATTCAGAAGTAATAATTATCGAAAAAACAGTACCAAATCAAGAAAAACCATCCCCTAATCAAGAAAAACAACCTCCAAATAAAGAAAAACCAGTTATTCGAAAATCAAGGACTCAAAAAAATGCAGCTGATTCAGAAGTAATTATTGTCGAAAAACCAGTACCAAATCAAGAAAAACCATTTCCAAATCATGAAAAACCATCCCCAAATCAAGAAAATCCATCTCAAAATCAAGGAAAACCCGTTATTAGAAAACCAAGGCCCCAGAAAAAAGTAGTTGATTCGGAAGTCGCTCTTATCGAAAAACCAGTACCAAATCAAGAAAAACCATCTCCAAATGAAGAAAAACCTCTTACAAATCAAGAAAAACCCATTATTCGAAAACCGAGAACTCCGAAAAAAACAGCCGACTCAGAAGTAATTCTTATTGAAAAAACACTACCAAATCAAGAAAGACTGGTAAAAGAAAATTTGGTTGTCGATGAAGCGGCGCTTAGACTGTTGAGATCAAATCCCACTATGAAAAATTCCAACGAGGAAGCCATAATTGTCGCTCAGATTCCAGTTACGTCAAAATCAACTGATTTTGCTCAGAAAGAAAGTACAGTCGAAGCTCAGAAATCTATAATGGACATAGAGGTTATAAATGTTGCTCAATTTTATACACCTAAAGATAAACTTGTTAAACAGACCAAAACTGACGTCCTTCAGAAAAAATCTACTTTAGATAAAGCCAAAGACGATTCTAATAATAATCGATCCAAAAAAGATATATCTAACAAGAAAAATATTGTTGCTCGACGGCCATTGAGATCCGATCAGTCTCAGAAAGAACCGGTTGATTCAGAAATCGGTAAAATTGATAAGACGGTTGAAAAATCACGGAAAGAAGTGCCGAAAGTTAAATCCGTTGAAGAATTGGTTAAAGAATCGAAATGCGATGATATTCTTACTAAGTCAAATTATATGGATGTTAAAAGTAGCCAAATTTTAGAGGATCCTACGAAGATTTTACCTAAACCGAAAAACACAGAAGTTGTACGAAAATTACGTTCTGAATTGTCTCAGAAAGAAGTTACAAATAAAGATGATAAAATACTGAAACCTTCTGACCCAGACGTACAAATTGTCAACATGGAAACAGCTCAGGAAACATCCAAAACCGATCTAATACTATCTAAAAACAAGAAAGTTTCCTCTAGACTTGTTGGAAATTTGGGGATAGATCTTGTTGACTACGCAAATTTGTCTGTAGATACAGCTACTCCTAGAAGACTGCGGTCCGAATTTGCTCAAAAAAATGACGATGCTGAAGAGGTTGTTAATGCTGGAGAAAAACTCGTTGAACCGCCTAAAAGTAAAGGTGAAACTGAGGAACAAACGACTGAGGCAGTTGAAAAACATATTATTGATGTTATTGAAGTACCAAAAAGAAATCGAACAATCTCAAAATCAAAAAACATCGTCGTGACGGAGACAACTGTGGAAAAAATTAAAAGAAATCAAAGTCTTTCTAAAACGACGAAAGATAAACTTTTAGATATTAAAGGTGAAGCTGAGGAACAAAGAACTGAGGTAATTCAAAACAGTTCATCGGCAGTTGAAAAAGATATCGATGTTATTGAATTACCAAAAAGAAATAGAACAGTCTCCAAAGCAAAAACTAATAACACTGTGACAGAGACAACTGCTGAAAAAATTAAAAGAAATCGAAGTCTTTCTAAGACAGGGACAGATAAACCTATAGAAGTTGCAAATGTTATAATTGATGCGGGAGATGAGGCAAGTAAAATTAAATTCTCGAATAAAGACGAAGCAAATCCGATAAAAGATATAAAAATGGACAAAAACGTGTCCAAAGAAATTCACGCGCCTAAAATAAATAGCAGCGAAAAACCTAAGAGGAAATATACTAAAAAAGTTAAAAATATATTTTCTAACAATGGTGTAACAAACACAAAACTTTTAGAAGAACCTAAAAGAAAATATACAAAAAAAGTTAAAAATATATTTTCCAAGAATGGTGTAACAAATACAGAACTTTTAGAAAAACCTAAGAGAAAATATACAAAAAAAGTTAAAAATATATTTTCTAACTATGGTGTAACAAATGCAGAACTTTTAGAAAAACCTAAGCGAAAATATACTAAAAAAGTTAAAAATATATTTTCCAATGCAGCTGTAACAAATACAGAACTTATAGAAAAACCTAAGAGAAAATATACTAAAAAAGTTAAAAATGTGTTTTCCAATGCAGCTGTAATAAATACAGAACTTATAGAAAAACCTAAGAGAAAATATACGAAGAAAGTTAAAAATATATTTTTCAATAAAGATGTTCAAATTGCAGTTTCATCGTCAGTGCCTTTAAAAAAATCGATAAGCGATTTAAATATCGAAAAACTCGAAAAAAATAGGAGCGTTTCTAAAACTAAAACCAAATATACTGTTAAAACTCTTAGCGACATTAAAACTAAAGAAAAAGTGACCAAAAAGAAAGAAAAAGCGACGTTTAAAATTAAGAAAGCCAAAAAATTATTTAAACCACCAAAAAAAATACCTCTCAAAGCGAAAATAAACAAAAGTTCGCAGAAAAATTCCGAAAATAAAAAAAATGTATTTCAAATTAAAATTGAACACGAAGAAAATGAAATCAAAGTGAAAGTCGAGAAGAGTGACGATCAAGTAGTCCAAAAAACTGTAAAAACGAAAGTAACTAAATCCAAATCTGCCGATGAAAATGCTCAACAAGCAGCTACCAAAAATACGGCTCCAAATATAATAGTGAAGAAAACTGACACGAAACTAAATAAAATTAGATTATTGGGAAAAGTTAGTAATATATCAGCCAAAGTGAAACCTGAAGTGAGCCCACCGAAAAAACGTGGTAGAAAAAAGAAAAACCAAGAAAATACTGTTGAAATGAATGTAGTTAAAGAAACTCCAAAACAGGACAAAATCAAACCAATTCAGAAAAAACAAGATCTAGATGAAATAACGGTGGTGCCGGAAAAAAGGACAAAAAAACAAAAAGACAGTCCTGTTAGAACGCTCAGATCTAGTTTTGCGCCTATTGTAATCAAACAAGAACCGCCAGAAGAAAAACCTGTAGCCATAATCGAAAAAGTTGTGGCTCTCATTCACAGCGAACCCAAACCAAAAATCTTAGAAGAACCGATAGAAACGAAGCCAATAGTTAAAGAAAAGAAAGAAATAATTAAGCCCAGAATACTCAGATCTCAAAATTTTAATGAAATCGAAACCATAAATGAAATCAAAGAGGCAGTTCCACCTAAAGAAGTGAATAAGAAAAGAAACAACAAGAACGACACGAAGAAAAAGGGAGTGTTACCAAAGAGCAAAACCATTAAGAAAAATAAGAAAGATGCTGTGGCCAAAAACCTTAGATCGGATGTCAAAGCCAAGAAAGAGAAACCCAAGACTTCTAAGAAGGAACTAGCCGAAGCAAAGAAAGATATAAAGACAAAGGGACGAACCAAAATAGACCAACTTACAAAAAATTCGAAAAAGAAAATATTTGAACAAGTTAAATCTAAATTGAAAACCGCCAAGGTTGCAAACCCTCTAAAGAAACCCGAGACTAAGAAAAAGCCCGCTGCCAAAGAAAAAACGATGCTGAACTGGCACAACGATGACATCATCGAAAGAATCATCCAAGAATTAAAGAATTCCATATTCAGTAAAGACGGCATCGAAAATAAAATTGCTAAAGACGATCGAAGTACCACAAAGAAAGTTAAGAAAATCGCAAAGAAACCCAACTTGGAATCGTCGATAAAGAATAAAAGAAAATTACTGTTGGCCAAAAAGAAGCTGCTACAGAAGAAGGCAGCGCTGCAGCGAAAGTTAAGAAGCGCTAGGATTACCGAAAGCGAAGCAAACACTTCTGGCAGTTCCGATAGCAAAGAGAACAATCCTCCGAAATCAACCGCTTCATCAGAAATTCCTTCGTCAATTGATGTTGCACCCCAAACGAAGACTGAAGATATTAAAAAAGAAGAAACCACTGTTCATCTGGTAGACTCGTACTTGGTGGAAATCAAAGATAGCGAAGCAGAGAAAAAACCGAAATCCATCAACATCATTAACGATGTTACCGTACATACTAACGGTAATATAGTCGAAAAACTTGTCAAAAGGAAATTAGAAGATACTCCCGAATCGATCATCTCCAAAAGACGCCATTACAAATCGATAATCGCCAAAGGCGATACACCAACAAGTAGTACAAATCTCTCACAACAAAACATAACTGATCTCACTAGTAATTTAAGCAAAAAGCACGACATAACTGTATTCGATTTCGACGAATCGGAACCAGAGTTTCCACCGTTGAGGCACAAAACCACTCCCAAAAGCAAAACCGATGAACCCACTAGAGTTTTAAAATCCTCAGAAACTCAAACCACTCCTATAAAACGACCAGAAAGGGCAGCCAGTCCTACGCAAAGTACTAATATTAGTTCTGTGATCTTAAAAGATTTGGACAAAACAAAATCCGAAGCATCAGCTCAAACCGAAGATGATATCGTCATTGAAGATGACGAAACTATGATAAAGAATGAACGGAAAGTAATATGTCAACCATCGACTTCGTTTCAAGTCGATAAAGATCAAATATTAGTTACTGATAAGATTATTAATACCGATAATGCGTTACTAAAACCAAATCAGTACAAAAATAAGTTTGAGATAGTACCTGCATTCGATGGAGAAGGTAAACCCAGAAAGCTTTGGTCTATTATTCAATCTCCGAAACCTGACCCTTCATTGCCGATGCAATGCGTGAATATGTCCGATTTTAAACTAGGCTTGGCGGAACTCTCTTCTACCAGTAAAGACGCTGAAGAAAGCCCTGAACATTTAGAAAAGAAATCTCCTTTGAAGCAAGCCACTATCATAGAGATGTTCAGTAAAGTTTGGAAGAAACGGGATACCGTGAAACAGGATATCTTCTCGAAACCTATGGCTCCTCCGAAGGTTCCCAAAGTGGAACCTACTAAGACGGAACCCGCACCAAGCCCTAGAAGAGACCGTCCCGTCGATGATTATGATGATGATGATGACAGCGATACGGAGAGCAGACTCGAATGGATCCCGGAGGAATACGCCGAGTACAAATTGAAGTATTCGGTGCAGAAGATGAGGCAGTTCAAGCCGCGGTTCAAATGCAAGATTTGCCAAATCAAGATGCCGACGTACTACAAGTTGTTGAAGCACAGGAAAGAGCACGACAATCAGGATAGGCCGCACGTGTGTCCTCAATGCGGATCGGAGTTTCGAGAGGTGCAAGATTTTTCGGCGCATCTTCGAGTTCATAAAGGTAAGTTTTTTTTTTTTAAATTTTAGTTATACTATTATTTTTTTTTATTGTCCGTTAATACGATAATCTCTATCGAATATTGAAAAGATATAAGTTTATTTATTTATTCAAAATACAAAACTACAAATATTAAATAATTTTATTGCCCAACAGTTTCCTGTTTACAAGGCAAAAAAATATACAGGGTGTCCCATTCGTGCGTTATTGTTCAATTTTCAATTTGTGTTATTGACACGCAAACAAGTTTCAAATAAAAGATATAAAGATTTAAAAAATATTTTTGCATATACAGGGTTTTGCATTTTTGTCTGGCAAATTAAAATGAATATTTTTTAAAATACAACACACTGTATTTTAGTTTTAGAATGGCTTGATAATACTAAATATTACAGGTTTGCCAAGCAATTAATTTTTTTATGAAATTAAAGAATGATGCAGAGCCCAAATTAAAATATCATAATTTAGGTAGGTTTATTATTATTATTTCTAAATTGTTTAACGAATAGTGGTGATAGAACTGGTTTATGTCTTGAAACATGTCTTAAATAATGCTAATTTTAAGTTCAATTCACTCAATTTTTTCAAATACAACACTGTGTATATTATTTTAGCATAAAATTCCTTATAAATTTACCTATCCAACGATACCAACATGTTAGCCAGTAACACATATACAGGGTGGCCCACCAGTGCGTAATTGATCGATAGCTGTTTTATTATTGGAAATAGAAAAACAAATTGATATAAAAGTTGTATGACCATGTTTAATAAATATTTTTAAATATACAGGGTGATCCATAAACGAGGAGCTAACCAAACTTATACATTTTTAAAAACGCCCTGTAAAAGTAATTATGCATATTTGGGTATTTTCACATCGTCAAACAATTTTAATAGACTTCATTTTTTTACTATCTTGTATATAGGGTGTGCCACAATCTGGGGTAACGATTTTCTCTTTTTTTTTTTAAATGGAAAACCCTATGTGTTATTCCACCAATTAATTAATGCAGGGTATTCCATTTAAAAAATTGAAAAAATCGTAACCTCACGTTTTGGCACACCCTATAGGTATACAACATAGCAAATAGTTTTGTTTAAAAAAAGTGTAAATTTTGTGAGCAACTCGAAAATAGACAAAACTAAGGACTCTGATAACATTTTTTTCACCTTTCAAGACAAACTGTGCCTTATGGAATATAACTTTTTTAAAGTCCAAAATGAGTGTTTTAAAAGGTTGTTTACATGCGAGTGGAAATTGAGATCAGAGTCAAACAGAATGCCTAGATTCTTTATGTAATCCGCTGTAGGTAAAGTTAGTTGATCAATTTTTATGGAAAGACTTTGATTAAGGTAATTCCGTTGTTTTTTTTGTTTCCAAATAGGATTAGATGACATTTATTTTTATTAAGCTTAAGATTATGAATAAGATCAACTTCTTCATTTAAGGCTTATTCAGCAACTTGATAATTATTATCAATGTTGTATTAAAGTTGGGTGTCATCAGCATACGTTGTATTTTACAGTTTCAAACAGATGTCAAGATATCACTGGTATATAAAATAAAAAGCATTGGTCCTAATATTGAGCCCTGTGGCACTGTAGACTTTACGTTTTGTAATGAAGAAAATTCATTATTTAAAAAAACTTTTTGACTATGGTTACACAAATATGAATGAATGAGATGAATAGAATTTTCAGAAAAACCAAAATATTTTAGTTTGAAACAAAGTAGATTGTGATTGATAGTATCAAATGCTTTGGAATAGTCCAAAGTAACAAGTCCTGTAATTTGTCTTCTGTCTATGATATTTCTTACAATATCATCAGTAAGTTGACAAAGTGTGACAGTTGTATTGTAGCCACTAGCCTGGCAATCCTGAAGTATTTTCAGTATTTTGTTTTCATCAGTTTAAAGAGAAATTCTGTTATAGATAGCCTTTTCAAGAATTTTGGACATCGCAGTCAGAATACTAATTCTGACGGCGATGTAAATGTAAACCTAACTAAATTATGATAATTTAATTTCAAAAAAAAAAAAAAATAATTCTTGGCAACACTAATATTTTTTAAAAACATTCTAGGATTGAATGCAGTATTATCAAACCATTTTAAAAATAAAATAAAATACAGGGTGTTCTATTTAAAAAACATACATTTTTATTTTCCAAGCAATTCAAAATTCAAAGATAAGCTCTTGATTTGTTTTTTAGTTCACATACATTACTTACAACAGAAAATAACACAAATATCTGAATTTTGTTTGCATTACTACACATTAAGGTAATTGGCTCTCTTGACAACAAGTTGATTTGATCTTGTTTACTTAAAAATGTAATATTATGTTTAGATATTAACTTAGGTACAAAAAAATCAATTTGTGAGGGCAACAAAATGCAGTCAATTTCGCCATTTAACAATTCATGCAAAATAATCAAAAACATATGCCTCTTTTCTACGTATTTTCTACGTGTTATACGAGTAGTAAATTTAAGTAGTTACAACCTGTTGGAGAATAAACACTTACTTAGAAATTTTAAAGATTTTTTTTTTGAATTTTCTCAATAATATTTGAATATTGAATATATGTTTATGGGATGTCATATTATTGATGAATATTCTAATTTTGTTCTAAGCTAAAATATATGAAAGGCTCTTGAAATTTTTACAATTATAATAATAAATAACTTTATTTCCACACTACATATAAATTACAGTAAATGTATAAAACAAACAAAATCTAGAAATAAAAATTAATTAATAAGTGTTGAGACACTTGTTTTGACAAAAAGAACATGGTAAAATTTAAAATACTCAAATACTAAGAGAAAAAAATATGTATCTAGTATCTATATAAAAAAAATAATGAACTTGAGCAAAATATACACCAATAAAAAAATATATAAATATAATTTTGAGTAAAAATATAAGTTTAGGTGCTTTAAACGAACGAATCTAGTAGAGCACCTCGATGTTATAAAGTTTTTTTTTAAACAAAACCACTACACCATATTTTTAGGCTATCTGTAGGCTCTTGAAATATTACGAAACATTCCGAAAAAAAAGTTTTTTTTTTTAAATAGAATATTTTTGAAAATATTTTTTTTTAAATATTTTACATTTCAAGAGCTTAAAAATCGTGATGTTCGTTCGAAGCTAGCAGAGAATCCTGCATTTTTTATACCAATTTTTTTAAAATGTTCTAAAATATTTCAATTGTCTAAAAATAGTCTAAAAATATTGGCTGGTGGTTTAAAGAAAAAAAAAATAATAATAATAATAAAACCCAGTTGCTTTACTGACTTTGTCGAGGACTTTGTTCCAGCATAGTACCCGTATTATTTAAAATTGCAATTTTTTTAGAAAAGTTTTATACCTAATATTTCAAGAGTATAGAAATAGTCTAGAAATGTGGTGTGGTTGTTTTTTAGAAAGAAGCTTTAAATAACCGAGCTGTTGCTGACTTCGTTCGAAGCTAGCAAATCACCCCCTATTTTTTAAAATAACTTTTTTTTTTTTTTTCAAAACGTTATATAATATTTTAAGAGCCTAAAATATTATAGTGTGGTTATTTTTTAAAAAAAACTTTTAAAACAGGTGCTCTGTGTGTAAATTAATTGTTCACAATCTGATTTAAAATCTAGAAATTCATTAATATACAATCCCAAAAATCTAACTAAATTAGTGGTTGATGTAATACAATATTTTTACAACTTTTTGTCTGTTGTGAAATCGAATCATTTGTTTTTTTCTGGTATTAAAATAGAAATAGTTGAATCCAAGATATCAATTCGTTCAGTGATGGTTTCTCTGTCACTTATCACTTATTTTAGAAAATACTCACCAACGAAATGTCATCTACAAAAGTAATATATTCGTTAGGATTTATGATTTTTTTAATATTACTGATACATAACATAAATATATAGTAGATCTAAAAATATATACCAGATAATGTAATTTGTAAATTAATTGTTGACAATCTGATTTAAAATCTAGAAATTCATTAATATTCAATTCCAAAAATCTAACTGAATTAGTGGTTGATGTAATACAATATTTTTACAACTTTTTTGTCTGGTTTGAAATCGAATCATTTGTTTTTTGTTATTAAAATAGAGATAGAATCGAAGATATCAATTCGTTTAGTGATGGTTTCTCTGTTACTTATTTTAGAAAATACTTTTCAACGACATGTCTTCTACAAAAGTAATATATTCGTTAGGATTTATGAATTTTTTATTCACTCATATATTGTAAACAACTGGTCCCAATATTGAGCCCAGGATATTTCTGGACTTAACCTCTATTCTACTAGAAACATAATTTAAATTTGTATTGTTTGAGTGATGTTATGTGATGATATCCATGTATTAGCTACACTTTAAAAGCTGCTAAGTACCGAAAAACTTTCCATCCACAAAGTATACAGTGATCATCATAAGTCTTACCCCCTAACCAACTCGTTACTGGAGTCTTGTTAGGAAAATCGCCGAGACACGTCGATTTTTGATTTCTACAATGTACGTTTTTGTATGAATAGTTTACCCTTAGTTTCATCCCTTAGAGGAGCAATCCTTTCGAAAAATTTAAATGGCATGGGGTGGTGAGTGAAAGGGGGTTTTATTCTCTATTCAACTGTGCAAAGAATTTTGAAATTTGCTTCATTAATTCTCGACTAATTATTGTTTCAGAATAACGGAAATTAACGTAGCGCACTCATCCTTAGAATTAAAAATCGGCCGGCATGATATCGGTTTTGGTTCAGACGTGAAGTAAGACTTTTTGCCATTAGATAATGTCACTGTTAGTTTAGTTGCTTTCCTATTTGTGATGTTTTGTTATTTTTAAACATTAATAAATCAACACGTAATGAAGCAAAGTTCAAATTTTTTTGCACGGTTGAATAAAGAATAAAACTCACTTTCAAATGAGCTATCACTCACCACCCCATGGCATTTAAATTTTTCGAAAGGGATAAAATTAAGGGTAAACTATTC